ATTTTTTTCTATTTTCCTTCATTTCATTGTGCCTTGAAATAAGGCAGAAAAATTCTACCTTAAATAACACAATCAATTGGTGCCTTGTTTATGCCGTTTAAGGCAGAAAAATTATGCCTTAAATAGCATGACTAATTTTTGTATCAAGGCAGAAAAGGGATTGTATCTTGGCTCATATTAGAACAATTTATCCTATCCGCCTTGACTCAATTCACTCTAATCTTACCCTCCATAATCCTATTCGCTTTATTATTTCCCTTTTAATCATATGAGTGGTATACCAAACGTGCCCTAAAACATTGCCCATCGAGGAAATTACACATACACATGATTTTAAAATACTATTTTCATAAATTAGGTATCTAGTTTCATAATACAAAAATCAGTTTTTAATTAAAGATTTTTTTTTAAATATTATTTTTATTTTATATCTACCTACACTATTCAAAATCTAAACTAATCCATCTCCTCTCCACTCTCTCACCGTCTCTCCACACACGGCGAGCAACCACCGTCGGTCCTTCTATATTCTCTCCGTCTCTCCACCTTCGTTCTTCTCCACTCCACTCCCTCTCCGTCGGCAGCCCAATCTCCACGACTCAACCTCGTCCGACGGCTTTGTGTTCTTGTTCTTTTTTATTGATGCGGTGGAAGTGTGACGTGTGGTGTTGGTGGAAATGTGAGCGTCGCTGCTTCAACACGAAGTGTGAATGGGGGGTGCGCGTGCGGTGATGTGGGTGTGGTCGCGGTGCTGTGGGCGAATGAATTGCTAATGGGGAGTGTGCGCACTTACAGCGGCTACAGTTGGGGTGCGTGCGACGATAGTTGCGGTTGCAATTGGGTGTGTGCGGTGTCGTGATGATGGTCGTGAATGGGATGAGATGGATGTGGGTGTCTGTGACCAATTATTTGGTTGATTGTGACCAATATTTGGTTAATTTTTGACAAATTAATAATGTGTGAGCCAAAAATTGTGACTGTGACTCACATTTTATTAAATTATAATCGAGTTGTGACCAATAAAAGTAATCTGTGACGTATAATTTGATGTTTTGTGACCATAAAATAAGTTGTATTAATGTGTGACATAAAAATTGTAACTATGACTCACATTTTATTAAATTATAATAATAAAAGTAATCCGTGACCTATAATTTGATTTTTGGTGACCATAAAATATGTTGCGTGACTTATAAATTTTGTGATTTGTGATCGATGAACAAATTGTGATTTTCAAATTTTTAATTTGTGACCGATGAACGAACAGTGACCTATAAAAATTTTGAACTGTGACCTTAAAATGTTTGAATTGTGACCAAATTGTATAGTTTTGCGACCTTTATATATTTATTAATTAAATATCTAATTAATTAATTAAATTATAAATAAATTTTAATGAAAATTTAATTTTTGAAATTTAAAACCTCTATACTTAATTTTGAAATGGTGATACTTTAATACTTTATTTATGTATTGTTCTTTTGCTCTATTTTCTTTAGTCCAAGGACGAATTTGGGGGTTGAATTGCGCTGTAGTCCAATCCAGATCCAATTGAGATGTTCATTTTTTAGTGGAAGCCCAGATTTTTTCCGGTCCAAATCCAACAAAACTTATAAAACAAATTAACACTAATTGGTATCTTACCAATCCAATCCAATTCACATTTGTTATTGGGAAAAATAAATCACTACAAATGTTTCAAAATACACTTTCAAATCGCATAAGGTTGCAATCACAAAGATAAAAATTGTAAATCACAATTATAAATTTAGTAGCAAATCACACTTTTTAGGCCATGTATAAATTATTGATCACACATTACTCATTTTATTGATCACAATCGCTCTTCATCTCACCCCACTCCATCCCACAACATCACCCAAACGCTGTCTCACTTCACCATCACCATGTAGATATGTACACAAACATCACTGTCACCTCAACACAATCATTACTAATACCACCTAAACACGGCTTCACCTCACAAACACCATGTAGAGATGTACAACGCACCACCACCACACAGATATGTAAGCAAACATGGCTGCCACCTCAACACAACCACTACCACCATCACACGCGATTTGTATATCCACCGCACCACCACGTGGATTTGGACATCCACCTACACAACCACCACTGCAATGAGGTCAAATATCGATTCCAAGCCCAAAGAGAAATGACATTCCACTTCTAGATCTCGAATCCTTGGATTTCTTATTGGACGACAACTTCCCAAGAGTTGGATTGATGGAGGATGGCCTAGCATCGGAGGAGCCCCTGTTGATTGATCCACCACTATGTGTGAGAAGGGATGTCGATTGATGGCTTTCGGTAATGGTGGTCGAACGAGAGAGAGTCACATATTTTTTGGGCGTGGGTGTGTGGGGTGAGGTGGTGGTGGGGTTGGAGGGTGCACCTAATTTGAAAATAAATAAATAAATATTTGCACATGATTATTAAGGGTGTGTTTGATGGATATTATTGAGAAAAAATATATTTTAAATAGTGATATAATGAGAAATACGTGGTTAAAAAGTAAAAAAAAAAGTTATTGATGAGATGAAAAATATTGTTTTATTAAAAAATATGTGGTTGAAAATGAGTTTTGAAATAATATATTTTGAAAGAATGTGTACCAAGCAAGGGCTAAAATGGAAAGTTGAAAAATAGGTATGGGAGTAAGAGCCATGCTACTCAAACAGTCAAAATTGACAAAAAATGTTGACAGACACACTTGGCGGGAATTCATTGAAAGGTGGAAAACTTTTTTAAAAAATGGACAAATCACAATTTGCCACGTCAGTGTGTTTCCAAATCCCGTCAATTTTTTATGTTTGAGTGGCTTTAACCATGGGTGTAATTTCCTCAACCCTGTTCAATTGAAACGCAAACTATAAACATACCGAAACTTCCAAATTTCAAACGTAATCGACATCGCCAATGAATCTTCCTAGACTCAACCCTAGTTCGACACTGGCCACACGCCACTTTCAAACCTCTGGGCAGCTGGGCTCCAACTTCGACGACTTTGCTCTGTCAAGTCGGTTAGGTCATTAACTTTAATTTTTTTTAAAAAAATTAATATTTTTAAACAATTATCTTTTAAATAAATAGGTTCTTTTAGCTGTTTTTTTTTTTAGTTTAGACATTTTTCCTTTATTTCAATTCAAGTGTTTTTAGTTACAAGGGCTTTCAAGTTATATAAATTTCTTAAACAGGCAGTAAATCTGGTATTCTGATTGTTTGGATGAGAGTTATGTAATTACGCTTTGGTTCTGGTCGAAATACAACATGATCTTCTATTATTGAATATCCGACAGCGTTAAACTTGTATAACTTGAGAAAAATACTTCAAATCACATATTCACGAGAAAGGAGAGTTAAATGTTTTATTTATGTCATCGTCACGTTTTTCTCACTAAATTTTAACACATTTGTACTTCATCACTTGTCATGTTCCCAGGTAACTGAATTTTAAAATGCTTTTGAGCGATTCATTGAACTTTAATATGTTGCATTTCACCGTTTATCTACAATGTTTCATTAGTTGCTAACTTATACCCTCGTCATGCTTTATTCACTGAACTTTAAAATATTTTCGAGCAATTACCAAATTTTACAATATTTCAAAGTAAAGTTGATTATCTACGAGATTCGATATAGATTAAAAAATAAAATAAATATCGAATAGATAACAAGACAGTCAATTTAAGACGAGAATATTGATATTTGTGAAAAAGATATAACTTTTCTAGTAATGAACCATTTATCTAATAGAAGGGAAGAAACTTCGAGGATGGAAGTGCCATTACTTTCATTTTCTTCTGACTCTGTTATTCGAATTTGTGAGAAAAAGGTCACTGCATATTGCCTGTTTGCAAATGATAATAATTTTTTATCAAATGAATTTTTAGAATGTTAATTGTTGCCTTGCCAGCTTTTTGTGAAATTGGATTATTATTGCTCTGCCGGCTTATTGTTTATAACTTGTATTGTTATTGTCACATTATGAACTAGATATGAATTGTGAGCCGCGATTTTAAGCATCTTACTTGTTGAGTTACGTCGACAATTAAATCAGAGTGGAAGGTCAGAAATTTATATTATAGTGCACATAAATTCAATTTATTTATTTATTTTTTACTTTTTAATCACACGTTCTTTAAAAAATCATAATTCTGAAAACTGTTTGAGCCCCATTTTTTGAAAAAATAAATTTTCCGACAATAATTATTTTGTAGAACGTGCGATTAAAAATAATTTTGAAAATTTTAGAGGATGAAGCTCAAACATAGGCTAAATATTTAGCTCATACTTGAGAACGAAAATTCTTTTTTTAAATTATATTTGCTCATTTTAATCACTCATTCATACAATAAAATAATTTATACGTAAAATTCAAAATTTTTTCATATTTTTTAACCACATGTGACTCATTATTCAAAAAATAACTATTCAAAACCAATAAAGTCAGTTGTACAAACATTGTCGACAATTTTGGTTAACGATTATGTGTTATCAAAATTCGGATAATTGATATAAAAAATATTTTTTAATAATTTTTAAAATGGATGGACGTGGCGGTGATTTAAGTGTGTAGTTGCCAACAAATAGTGATAGTCAAATGGACGCTTGCTTATAAACGTGGCCGTATATGGACCTCAGTGTAATTTTCTAATTTGTTGTCATATAATCCCAAGTCACAGGCTGTCGCCGCTCACGTTTCTTCTAAAATTCTCGATGCCAAGGGGTCTTCTAAGTGCGACTTTTGTTTTCATATATTCATAAAAATTCAATCCCCCAAATATCATCGATCACAGAAGCGGATTATTAATCTCATCGGTCAGTTATCGCGTTTATGCGTGCGTGCTTCGATGGTATATATATAGATTGTTTTAATGGATCAATCGACATCGCCAATTTTGTTTTTATTGCAGGATTTAATTCTTTGAATTTCTGTAGTATATACCATTTTTCTGTAAAGAAATAAATCAACAATGTTTACACGAATTTTCGGAAAACCTAAGCAAGAGACCAATGCTCTGGCAACGCTGGACAAGTTAAATGAGGTAACGATATTTGATCTTTGAATTTAGTTGTGAATTATTTTTAATTTTTTAATATAAGTTTATATTGTTTTTATGATGCAAGAATATTTTTGTCGGATTCTTTGTTGGGCATAAAAGTGAGAATGTTTGCCTTTTATAAAAAGTGAGAATGATATTAGACAGAAACAAATTTTAGTCATTCGATAGGTATAGATTTTAGTTTTATATTTTATACATGATTTGAATTAAAATCTCCAATACCTATTTCGGGTAAGAGTAGTTATTTTGTTGCTCTCCAGTGCTGCAATGGGGGGTAATTTTTTTCTAGTTCAATTTTTCAACTGTCAAGCAGAAAACAAGCTCTTGATTTTGTGTCATATAGGGTGCATCCATTAGGCCATATTTGGATCCTGAGTTTCAGTGATGCATAGAATAAAAATACGAAGGGAAACCATTTTTTCTTTTGGTTTCGATTGATGGACCTTTTGTTCTTCATGGTCTTCAACTATAGCTTTAAACTTGAATAGTTACTTTTAATCTGTTTGGAGAGAAAAAAAGTGGGGGAAATTTATGGTAACCTATTTTATTTTTCTATTTTCCGTTCCTATAGGAAATATAGAATCCACATGGAGCCCTAATGTTTATGAGACTTGACTTTACAGAGTATCAGTTGCTGCATCTATTTCGGTGTTAGGAATGACGTCAGACGTGACACGTTTATTTTTTCATTCATTCCCTTGTTATGGTTTCTCATGGGGATTTGTGATGTTATAACCTATTTATATGCATTCCATCTCTCCTAGTTCAATCGCTGTGGTGAAAAATAATGGCTGTGGTTTAAGGGTTTTTTCCCAGTTTACATTTTTTCCAGGACTTTTATGGTCATTGAATTCTTTTTGTCATCTTTATTATATTGTCTGTGACTCACTACATGTTTGCTCGGACATTCTGTGCAGACTCTCGAGATGCTAGAGAAAAAAGAGAAAGTTCTCTTGAAGAAGGCTACTGCTGAGGTTGAGAAGGCCAAGGAGTTTACAAGAGCCAAAAATAAAAGGGGTATGATCTATTATAGCTCATCAGAAGTCCACTTACCATCCTATTCATCTCTGTAGAAGTTTCTAAGTTGGAGAATCATGCCTTTGTCCTATTTATGGGGCTGGAGTATAAGTGATCTGATCTTCAGGCCAGCTGTTTGAGGTTTTTATATATGCCATCCTTTTTAGAAAGTGATATCCTCAGAAAACATAATTTATTTAACCCTTCGGTGAGGAACTTCAACGTTAAGATAGGTTCCTGTAATTGTTGATGATGCAGATTTCATATGTTGGGTGGATGTTGCTTTACTTCATATGATTATCCCTCCTTTTATATGGTCCATTTTTTGTTTGTTTCGTTAATAATTAATACTTGCGTCTTCACAGTAGCACACAGGTGACACTAATAATAGAACAGTTATGGGTGATTCT